AAGGTTCTCTGCTACTCAGTGATACCAGTTTCTGTTCAGGGACGCGATATCCGCCCGGCTAATCATCAATCTCCTAGTACATCTGAAGACAGTGTCAACACTCGAAAACGCTCGTCAGCGGCCAGACGTAAGAACTGCTTGATTTACGCCATACGATGTAGTAGTGCTGTGCTAAACTGTCTTTTTTCACTATAAGTTCTATGATTAATTTTTCTTTAGCATCGTTGATATCACTTTGTGATTCACAAGCTGAGACATCAGGATTGAAGCAAATACCCTGTGCTTCTTTTGATCCAACTCGACGCCCTGTCAAATTGGGTGGGTTTCACTTTTGAGGACATAGCTTTTGTTCCGATGTCTACCAGACAACGGTTCGTTTTTCCCTTTCTACTTCATGTCCCTCTCATTGTTGGGACACGCCGTACGTTGAGGATTCCCAGCAGTGGGCTCGTATTTTGGTTGCTGAGAGGAGGGGGTCGTAATTACCTTTGTGAAGAACATTTTTATTTGTACCTTTTCTCGAGTCCTCCTGTTCCACGTGCGTCATACCCCCCCCCCACCGACCCGCCCGTTCCACTCCTAAAGTGGTAGCGAGCTAGTAAATTTTGGCAATGTTCTAGGTAGGATTCTGGGATAGAGAAGAGATTTGTTCCTAGAAGAATTTGTTAGGTCGTATTTTGCAATTTTCCGCGACAGGACGTGCTCGTTCCGAGGGAATCAAAGCAGTTCACGCTGCCAGTTTTTCCCCCACGTTCGCTAGTTATAAGACGTAAAGTTGGTATTTGTCGAACGGGTGGAAGTGCCGCCACTTCCTATGAGCAGGAACACGGATATGTTACGGAATTCTCCGTGAGGGCGTCGTTTCTGGTCTGCAGATAGTTTCTTGGGTAAGAATGAGTGATTTGGAAATTTTGGGAAAAGAGTAAGGATTGAATTCCGTACAATAAAGATGGGAATCAGATAATATAATATTAAATGGTGCACGATGCCGAGATCAAATCTCGGATTTACTGTCGTGCAGGCAATCCAAACTTTCCACCTTCTGGCGTCGGCTAATTAGTAGTCTGGGAGGATCAAACACTGCTTGTACATTTTCTGCATGCCAATGAAAAAGTTTCAACCTGTTCACTTATAAGCATTTGCCGTCTCTGTTCACCCCTCTGTCCTACCTTTCACCACTTCTTGTCAAAACCTTCCTCTGACTCCTCTAAATGGCCATACTCTCGAGCGATTCACACAATCAGAGCGGACCAAGTGAACCATGGAATACGTGGTTCAAACATTCTCTGCTTACTGCCTGTGCTCTGTATATTTCTTTATTTGTTCTGCAGAATTTTGCCCATTTCCAGGAATTCAAGGCTTTCTTCACACTGTATCTCCTCCCACAGGAAGGCAAATCAGAGAAAGGGAGACTACTTCAGAGAGCACGCGTAAAAAGGTAATAATGGGTAGTAAAAACATTCGTATATGTAAATACTAGGCTGAGTGGGAAGTTCTGTCGTGTTTTTAGAATATCAAGCTTTTCTTTTCCTGTAAAATAACTTCCATCTGAGGCGTACTTGTAAAGAAACTTATAAGATTCAAACTATACAGCTTTGTTCGTCATTGAGGGGTCGAAGGGTTATGAAAACTTCTGGATGCCATCGCTTCACAGTGCAGGCCGCTGCGAGGCGAACTTGATGTCATCTCTATTCTAATATGGGTTCTGTTCCTGAAGCATTTCTCGTCCATGTATCCAGCCAGTTCGGCAAACCAGTAGTTCAAAGACCAGCATCGGGGCTATACGAGCCATCATCTGCATGCGGGTGCACGGTCGAGTTTTCTCCACCGACTGAAGATTCTCTCAGGATTTTGTGGCTGCTCTAGGTGGGACGAGTTGTGGAAACAGCTTTCTGATCCAGTACCTGCTTCCCAAGTCGCAGCACCCTCAAGCTGCATTAAAGGCAGTTGGCACGATGATTTGGTGCTCGGCCTAAAATGCTAGCAGGGCGCTATACAGTGGGAATGGCGAAAGAACGGAGTGAAACAGTCAAAATCTTGCGAAGAATGAGCTCCCTTCTCAATGTGTTAAAAATCAATTTTGGACGAGTTTCCCATAGGCATGCTGCGCCAATAACCGTAGCCGAAGGTTACGGCTGCATTATGGCGCTTCATATATCCATAGGCAGCATCACGGCGCCTTCATGACCTATACCTTCGCTTTCATACATTTGCTTAGCAAATGAATCAATTCGTGCGTCAGGAACGGTCATTCATTTGTGGGCGGGTGGGCGTTTGGGTCGGAATGTTGTGGCTTGATAGGGCCCTTATAAGGGCACCTTTCTTGGAAAAGGCATTATGCAGCGCCTGCTCAGGGTCGCGGAATTCCGTCCTGCCAGGCGTATTAATCCTACTCGTCTTGGGGATTTATCGTGCCAACTGCCTTTAAGGTGGACATGCGTCTACTTCGTCCTTAACACCTAGCCTCCCTTCTTCAAAGCAGCTGGATGTTGTGGAAAATTGTCCAATAGTTGAAAGTTCTTATGCTTCTCCTTTATTAGGCCATTCTCATGCTTGAGCAAAAAAGAGAAGTAGAGAACAAGGGACTAGTACTGTATCAAATTGGGCATTACTATCCACACTGACAATCTTTTCAGGTTAAAGGGTGGTATTTTAAGTCAAGAATATGTCACAACTTTCCCGCCAACCTAATGAATAACGATGTTATCTTTCCATCTAATTTATTTTTTCCAAGGTGAAAGTCGAAGTGATAGACATAGAAGACGATGACGATGTGATACATGATGCAGCGCCATTGTCGTCTAACCTAACCCAGCCCTGTAGCAGCACTCAGACTGAGTCACAGACAGTGAAATCTCCTCAGGTGAGGTCTTCTACTTCTTTTCGGTGGGATCTTCTTTTCAACTTATTCGCAATCGAAGAGTCTCAACGTTGTAACTATCTCGAACAAGCTCCCAAAATGTTTATTAACAACAGCTCAAAAGTATGAAAAAAACTTTGAACTCCGATCCGTTATCGAATATGTTGACGACTGACACACTGTTCAGCGACATTTTCCTTTCTGCTACTAACGAGTAACTACTCTCACCCTTTCTTCTCTTTACCTCGTCTTCTTGTGAGAATCAAATTGTGGGAAGATTGTTATTTACAACATTCAGATACTTCGATTCATGAAGCTCCTGGGACAGCTCAAAGCTAAGATACTTAATCGAAGTTTTCAGAGTGACATAGAGAACGATCTCGTGGTAAAATTCAAAAAGTTGAACATTGTGCGGATAGCCGACGCATCGAAACAAATGCGTTTTGCCGTAGGGTCGTGTCGAAAGACTGTGCAGGTAACTTACCCGCTCTTCATGTTTTAGATTCAGTAAGGGATCCTGATCCTAAACTAGGTGGGGATCATTGTGGAGGAAAGGGGTTGGGAGTAATCGGCAACCGGGCCAGACCACACCTTTTCCTGTCCACCCAGTGATGGGTGAATACTGCCTGTTTGAAAGGCTGCGTTCATACTTCGCGACTCGAGCTATTCGGGATCGAGCGACTGTTACCAATCGTGCTTCTTTATCCAAGATCCCGCCGCGGCAACGGTGAGGTTCAATTCCTGATGTGACCGAACTAGAAAATTCAGCGGTACAAAATAGGTGATAGATTAGAGTCGCGCAATCTGCGAATTGGATATCTTATTTGAAGTGAGTGAACGGCTTGCGAAGCAAGAGCGCAACCTGCCTGGCTTCGCTTACAGGCTTCCAGCTGCCCAATTTTTTCGTGTGATATTTAGATGGTTAATATGGATTACGGTTCATATTGTGGTTCCAGGCCATCATTGTGGATATCATCGACTCGCTCAGAATAGTAGATGGACTGTGGACTATGAAAGTAAGTCTGTTTTGTTTTTGTTAGTGCATATGCAAATGAGTGTAGCTACTAACCACGGGTACACAACAAGGGGTCAGCGCGCGCAGTACTGGGTCGATGAGTTTGACATGCGAATTTGTAATGACGCTCGTGAACAGAACAGCTCGCGCCCGACTGAGAGTGGAGGACAGTTAATGGGCTGCTACTTGAATAGATTGCTGTGGGCGCTTCGCCTCGTAGTGAACGCTGTGTCGCGTGGTGGCCACTTAGTGTATAGCCTCTATTCGCTTTTGCTATCTACTCTCGCCTGCGTTTTCTTGCTCAATAACATCTTATGACCCCAGTGACTACGCAGTTTTCATAAGCCCTCACAAACATGACGCTTCCATTCAGATCCGCTGCTCACCTTAAGCGCCCGTCCGGGTTCATAATACAATCTAGTTCGCCGCGGATGAAGGGGCGTGTCAGAGTGGCTGAGTCTGGCATACCGCCAGCTAATTCCCCTCCAGTTATTGAAGCAATTAAGCGAAACGATTGATGGAAAGCGATTGATACGAACGATATGGCGCAGTATCGTCGCTCGCCGATAAAAAACGGACTGGCGCCGCACCAGATCCATGCCCCTTTGACACGCCATATCATCCGCTCCGGTTTTCTTTCTAAGCTCACAGAGCTTCTGCTCTTCATCCGCCTTCACTGTAGCTTGTCGAGGAAGGTCATGACAGAAATGTTCATCAACCCGTACTACCCAGCTTGGATATTACTATCTGACGCTTTTTCCCATGTGATAAAAATTTATTTAATGTTCATTTTTCTTTTTCAAGGTCAGCCTTCAAGACGAGTCAGTCGACAGCTTCGTGTGCCTGATAGACAGCCCTACGCTGTCATCTCTTATCGGCTTGACACCAGCGGAAGCGTTGGTAAGTGGATTGACCGTCATGAGCAGGCGGATTGGAGGCCTGTATAGTGGTCTTAATAGATATTTGTGCTTTGTTCAGGAGGTTCGTGCGTCCAACGATATAGAACGACGTAAGGATGGTCAGCGTCGTTTGGGTGCAGTAGAAGAGCAACTGAAGCGGCTTGATCTGCTCATGGTTGTGGAGTTGTTCAGTGGCAGTCGTGCAGATCCTGTGATACGTAGCATTCGAACGCTCATGCAAGAACTTGACGTTTCATAGCAGTAGCTCAGTTTTATAGAACAAGGAGTGGGAATCAAATCTGTTTGTATTAATCAGTTGCGTATGTTCGTTCGGCTTGTCGTTTAGGATATTCACACTGCGGCGGCGTGGCGAATGTTGTCTTCTAGTGGCGTCACGTGCGCGGCATTTGCACCAGGACTCAGGTGATATAATGTGGAGATGCTGAAGCATGTGCATTTAATTAGCTAGGGAGTGCTAGCTACAGTCTTGTTCGCTGCGAATGAAAGGGAGCGTTAGCCGGGATGCGTTCGGCGCGGCGCCGTTCCCGTTCTTCACCAGGATTTGAAGCGGGTGAGCGACAACATTCGGTGGGAAACAATTCATATGAACCATATAAGGCTGCGTTCATACTTTGCGGCGGCGTCCATCAGCGTTTCCAGCGTCCGGCAGCGTCTCGAGGGCTAGAGAAGTATAGGTACCGATCTGGCGAACAGCAGCGTCTACCGGCGTCCACCAGCGACTAGCACGGTTCAGGAGTACAGAGTATGGGGCGATAGGAGGATAGCTGACAGCTGGTACCA